AGGGTGGATCTTTGGGTCATGTGACCATTGTGATTGACTGTCACAGTATCACATGATCGGAAATCTCAAGTATTCATCAGACTCTTACTGATTACTACTGGGCATGCTCCCAGCACAGTAAGTAGTTTTAACCAGGGTTGCCTATATCCCATCATAAGGTCCACACACTCAACTGGTTAAAAGTGTACCCTGTATTAAAGCGGACCTGAACTTCCCTTTCCTTCAGGCGCCCCATTGCTTGTCAGCGCCGGAACCTTTTCGCTGGGCACTGGTCTATGGCCGGCAAAGGATGACATCAGTCCAGTGGCTTGTTTACCTGTATGTCAGTCATACCGGCAACCATAGAGGGACCGTGCCGGCGATGTGGTAAGATCACCTGTCATCCGCAAAATTTCCGTTTACTTGCCGCAGGAAGACAGCGAGCTGGTGTGTGTATTTTTATTGCAGAAGAAACATTTCATTCTTAATTTGAAAACTCTTGTAATACATTTCAAAAGTTTTTTTTTTTTTTTTAGCTGTAAAAATGTTCTAATGCAGGTAAATGCGGCAAAACGGTATTTTTGAGTGTTTTTGGCCAAAATGTATGTATTGTTTTTTCTTTTAATAAAAAATCGCTAACCTGGGAAAACACGGCCTAAATAGCTAAGGGCAAAAATGAGCAAAAGCTTGCATTTTTAATGTGACTTTATGCTGCTAACCCTACCGGCGTTTTTTACAACACCCAGTGTGCATGAGGCCTTATACAGTCTTGTGATTTCACAGATTTATTTCGAGGGCAGGGTATGTACTCGCTTGGGATTCCCCCCCCCCCTCTCCGCAGGTGCTCCATTCCGGGTGTGTATCGGAATGAATAATCGGAGGGGTTAATTCAAATACGACACCATCGCCGCATAATCAGTGCCTCTTCCCCTTTTCCTACACGCTCTGCTGTACTCAGGAAAAGGATTCATGAAAATGCTGAACATCAGCGAGCGGTCAAAGACCTTGGCACCATTAATTAGCACCGCTGTAATGTGAAACTCTTCAATTATATCGTGCACCTTGAAGACTACAGACAGTGCAGGGCTCAATGCAGAACCAGGAACAGCGGCGGCAAAGACCACAAAGCCATTCAGTACAATAGCAGTATTAATAATACAGTGTACACGCGTGTATGAATGAAGTGCCTGTACTGAAGTCTAGTGATCAAATTTCCCACATGTTGCCATAGGCATTCCAGTTAGAGTTCTGTGTGAGCAGGGACAGGGATCAATGTTGTGTTGATGGATTGGACTGCATTGCATGTGTTGGCTTATTGGCAACGGAAGGGCGAGATATTGGCTTTCATGTGGGTCTTTTTCTAAACTCTGCATTCAAAAATATCAGAAGATACAAAATAAAAAATATTTAAAAGTGTTTGAAGAATTTTAATAAAATTCCTCCCCATCAGTCTTGCACAGTTGTACCCGGCTCATCTCCTATGCTGAAATTTCTTACTCTGATTTCACTGCACACTGTGAGTTTTCTCACAATGTGCATTAGTGTTACTAAACCCAGGGACCCTACATTCACTCTATCCGGTCTCCCGTGCCCAGCATTCACTCTATCCGGTCTCCCCGTGCCCTGCATTTACTATATCTGGTCTCCCTGGACCCTGCATCTGCTATATCTGGTCTCCCCCCGACCCTGCATTCACTCTATCCGGTCTCCCCGTGCCCAGCATTCACTATATCTGGTCTCCCTGGACCCTGCAATCACTCTATCCAGTCTCCCCGGACCCTGCATCTGCTATATCTGGTTCTCCACCCCCCCGACCCTGCATGCACTCTATCCGGTCTCCCCCCCGACCCTGCATTTACTCTATCCCGGTCTCCCCCCGACACTGCATTCACTCTAATCCGGTCTCCCCCTCGACCCTGCATTCACTCTACACTATCCGGTCTCCCCCTCGCCCCTCGACCCTGCATTCACTCTATCCGGTCTCCCCCTCGACCCTGCATTTACTCTATCCGGTCTCCCCCCCGACCCTGCATTTACTCTATCCGGTCTCCCCCTCGACCCTGCATTTACTCTATCCGGTCTCCCCCCCGACCCTGCATTTACTCTATCGGTCTCCCCCCCCGACCCTGCATTTACTCTATCCGGTCTCCCCCCCCGACCCTGCATTCACTCTATCCGGTCTCCCCCCCCGACCCTGCATTCACTCTATCCGGTCTTCCCCCCGACCCTGCATTCACTCTATCCGGTCTTCCCCCGACCCTGCATTCACTCTGGTCTCCCCCCCGACCCTGCATTCACTCTGGCCTCCCCCCGGACCCTGCATTCACTCTGGTCTCTCCCCCCGACCCTGCATTCACTCTGGTCTCCCCCCCGACCCTGCATTCACTCTGGTCTCCCCCCGACCCTGCATTCACTCTGGTCTCCCCCCGACCCTGCATTCACTCTGGTCTCCCCCGACCCTGCATTCACTCTGGTCTCCCCCCGACCCTGCATTCACTCTGGTCTCCCCCCGACCCTGCATTCACTCTGGTCTCCCCCCGACCCTGCAATTCACTCTGGTCTCTCCCCCGACCCTGCATTCACTCTGGTCTCCCCCCGACCCTGCATTCACTCTGGTCTCCCCCCCGACCCCTGCATTCACTCTGGTCTCCCCCCCCGACCCTGCATTCACTCTGGTCTCCCCCCCCCGACCCTGCATTCACTCTGGTCTCCCCCCCCCGACCCTGCATTCACTCTGGTCTCCCCCCCCGACCCTGCATTCACTCTGGTCTCCCCCCCCGACCCTGCATTCACTCTGGTCTCCCCCCCCGACCCTGCATTCACTCTGGTCTCCCCCCCGACCCTGCATTCACTCTGGTCTCCCCCCCGACCCCTGCATTCACTCTGGTCTCCCCCCCCGACCCTGCATTCACTCTGGTCTCCCCCCCGACCCTGCATTCACTCTGATCTCCCCCCCGACCTGCATTCACTCTGATCTCCCCCCCCCGACCCTGCATTCACTCTGGTCTCCCCCCCGACCCTGCATTCACTCTGGTCTCCCCCCCGACCCTGCATTCACTCTGGTCTCCCCCCCCGACCCTGCATTCACTCTGGTCTCTCCCCCCCGACCCTGCATTCACTCTGGTCTCCCCCCCGACCCTGCATTCACTCTGGTCTCAACCCCCCGACCCTGCATTCACTCTGGTCTCCCCCCCGACCCTGCATTCACTCTGGTCTCCCCCCCGACCCCTGCATTCACTCTGGTCTCCCCCCCCGACCCCTGCATTCACTCTGGTCTCCCCCCCGACCCTGCATTCACTCTGGTCTCCCCCCCGACCCTGCATTCACTCTGGTCTCCCCCCGACCCTGCATTCACTCTGGTCTCCCCCCCGACCCTGCATTCACTCTGGTCTCCCCCCGACCCTGCATTCACTCTGGTCTCCCCCCCGACCCTGCATTCACTCTGGTCTCCCCCCCGACCCTGCATTCACTCTGGTCTCCCCCCCGACCCTGCATTCACTCTGGTCTCCCCCCCGACCCTGCATTCACTCTGGTCTCCCCCCCGACCCTGCATTCACTCTGGTCTCCCCCGACCCTGCATTCACTCTGTCTCCCCCCGACCCTGCATTCACTCTGGTCTCCCCCCGACCCTGCATTCACTCTGGTCTCCCCCCGACCTGCATTCACTCTGGTCTCCCCCCCGACCCTGCATTCACTCTCTCTGGTCTCCCCCCGACCCTGCATTCACTCTCTCTGGTCTCCCCCCGACCCTGCATTCACTCTCTCTGGTCTCCCCCCGACCCTGCATTCACTCTCTCTGGTCTCCCCCCGACCCTGCATTCACTCTCTCTGGTCTCCCCCCGACCCTGCATTCACTCTCTCTGGTCTCCCCCGACCCTGCATTCACTCTATCCGGTTTTTCCCCGGGACCCTGCATCCACTCTATCTGGTCTCCACCCGACCCTGCATTCACTATATCTGGTTTCCCCGGACCCTGCATTCACTATACCCGGTCTCCCCCGGACCCTGCATTCACTATATCTGGTTTCCCACAGTACACACAACATGGAAATACAATTACATTACTAAATATAAACTGCTAAATACCTTTTTCTCACCAGCAATATATAGCAGTATTAAGACTTATATCAGTGCCCGACCGAGCACTGGTTTATTCTTGTAGGAGGAGTTTTCACTCTCCTCTGACTGTTCTATGAGGCTTCATAACCCCTGAACCTCTGTCTGGACAGTGCTGATTGGCCCTGTGCGCATCACTTGCACTCTCCCAAGAAAAAAAAAAACTCTCTAGCAATACACACCAAACTGAGCATGTGCAGCTTGCCCCCAAGACTCTATTCTATCAGCAGATGGATTGAGGACAGTAGAAGGGGCAAAATCAGAGAAGACCGGGTCAAACCTTTTTTTTCACAAGGCAGATTAACCCCTTAGGTTCCACAGTGAATAAAACAAGCATGCTGTACTGCATACATAGATTGATTTTATTGTTGAGGGTTTACAAACACTTTAAAAGCTGAAGCAAGTCAAATAGAGCCCCCCGCCTCATTTCCTGGCTAGAGGACATCCAGCATAATGTAGCCCCTTTCTCCCCAGCCTTACAGTCCCTGGCCCTCCCCTTTTGTTCATTGGATTTCAGTTCTTTCAATCAATGGAGGCTCAGCAATCACATGTGGGCGTTCTGCCTGCCTGTGAACACCCATTCCTTCAGACTGACACCTACCCATCAAGGCATTTAAATATCTTCTCCCAGTAGCCTGCCCATTGCTTGCATCAGGGATTTTAGGAGGTGTACGGAGATCATGCTGTGATGTTCTCAAGGAGCTATGTTTAAATTATGATTTGCTTTGAAACTGCATAGATAAGTACAGAGACCCAGTAATGTTAAAACAGGTATTTAAAAATGTTAGTAACATGTTGATGGAAGGCAGAACTAGGGAAGGCAAAATAAAAACCAAATTAAATTTTGGCTTTAAAATAGGGGTTATATCTTAGTAAGGTGAGAACATTAGAAGCATTCATATCCCCTTTTTTTAATATGTGTAAACTTTATTATTTTAAGCAACTCAAATACCATAAAAAACATTCAGTGGTCCCATGTGGTCAGATGATGGCGATATAGGGTCATGTGACCTGCATACATTACTGAGTGGTGAACACATATGCTGCAGTCACATGACCCATAGGAATGTATAGGACAAGGCTGCAATTCTTCATGCTGCAGTAACACATAATGCACCATAAAGGGGACTTAAAGTAAATCTTTTCTTCCTGGAATATGGGGGCTGCTATCGCTGACCTCCACCTGAAAATGCTAATTGCCTGGCTTTTTAAGTCACTGACTGGGGAAAATGTGGTTTTCGTTTGGAAAAGTCTATTCAGCCCCCTGCTTCACACTAATGCGGTGCGGGAAACGCAGTGAATCCTGTGCGTTTCCCGCACCGCATTGCAAACGTTCTGCGTTCTTTTTTAAATTCTTAAATTACGCTGGCAAATGGGGCGTACCCCTGAAGACGTGCATGCGCACGAAACGCGTCCGGTGGAGCTGCATTTGCTGACGTAGGACGGAGCGGTGGCCATCTTGGTATTTCCTTTTACCTATTACCTGTTTGATTCAACGTGTATGGTTTTGATTTCATTCCAATAAATGCTACACTATAATGCGATTGTTGGCTCCTGTGGTGAGCTATTTCCCTTAGGACAACCAGTGCTCTAGGCGAAGCAGTTCGTTTTAAACCCCTTGGCTGCCTCCCCATCTCCAAATGTGATATGCTTGATTGCCTGGTTACCAGTTATATTCTGGTGTGTGTACATCTGACAGAGGTGATGGATTCCCCTGTGTGATCTCTAGCACACTTGCACTTTGCACCTTCATTTTGCTGCACTTTATGGTTCTACGGACATCTATTTGACATTTTATGGATTCATGATTCACCCAATTACCACGTATAAACACTGAGATTTTATTTATTTATTTATCGAGTTTATATAGCGCCAAAGGGTTTGCTCAGCGCTGTACAATAGAGGGGGGACAATACATGAAACAGAACCGTAACATCAAACAGCACACGAGGGGTTAGAGGGCCCTACTCTTTCGAGCGTACAATCTAGGAGGGAGGGGGGGTAGAGGCACAGGAGGAAACGGCTGTGGGGGATGGAGTGGTAGGAGGAGGGAAGGGCAGCGGCTGTTAGGTGAGGGTGGGGTAGGCTTCCCTGAAGAGGTGGGTTTTCAGGGAGCGCCTGAAGGTGAGGGAGGGAAGGTGACAGTCTGATGGATTGGGGTAGTGAGTTCCAGAGGATGGGGGAGGACCTGGAGAAGTCTTGCAGTCGTGCGTGGGAGGAGGAGACCAGGGAGCAAGATAGGAGGTCCTGTGAAGAGCGAAGGGTACGGGTAGGGTGGTACCTGGGAATCAGGTTGGTGAGGTAGTAGTTAGGGGCAGTGTTGTGAATGGCCTTATAGGTCAGGGTGAGCAATTTAAATTTAATGCGTTGGGCAATGGGGAGCCAGTGGAGGGAGAGGCAGGGGGGGTGGCAGAGGGTGGAGCGGCTGGTGAGGTGGATGAGTCTGGCCGCTGAGTTCAGGATGGTCTAAAGCGGGGAGAGCCTGCACTGGGGTAGGCCGGTGAGGAGGGGGAGTTGCAGTAGTCCAGGCGTGAGATAATCAGGGAGTGTACTAGTAGTTTAGTGGTGTCTAGGGTAAGGAAGGAGCGTATCTTGGCGATATTGCGGAGGTGGAGTCTGCATGTGTTTGTGAGAGATTTGATATGAGGTTGAAAGGAAAGGTTTGAGCCCAGAATGACGCCAAGGACTTTGGCTTGCTGGGCGGGATTGATGGTGGTGTTGTTGGTAGTGATGGAAAGGATGGGGGGGGGGGGGGGGCGCAGGCTGGGGGGAAGATGAGAGGAAAGCTCGGTTTTTGGAGAGGTTGAGTTTGAGGAAATTGAGCGACATCCAGTCAGAGATGTCGTTTAGGAGGTGAGTGATGCGGGCGGAGAATGTGGGGGTGAGGTGAGGGGTGGATAGGTAGATTTGAGTATCATCGGCATAGAGGTGGTAATTGAAGCCGTGGGAGTGTATGAGTTTGCCAAGGGAGGAGGTGTAGATGGAGAAGAGAAGGGGTCCAAGGACAGAGCCCTGGGGGACCCCAACAGAGAGGGGGAGTGAGGAGGAGGTGGCACCGTTGTAGGAAACGCTGAAGGAGCGTTGGGATAGATAGGACGAGAACCAGGAGAGGAGCGGTGTCTCTCTCTGATGCCAAGGGAGAGTAGTTTATTAAGGAGGAGGGGGGTGGTCGACTGTGTCAAAGGCCGCGGAGAGGTGGTCTAGGAGGAGGAGGACAGAGTAGTCGCCTTTGGCTTTGGCGGTTAGTAGATCGTTGGTGATTTTGAGGAGGGCAGTTTCGGTGGAGTGTGGGGGGGGGGACGGAAGCGGACTGTAGTGGGTCAAGGAGGTTGCTGTCAGTCAGGTGGGGCGCATAGGCGATCGAAGACCAAGCGCTCAAGGAGCTTGGAAGTGAGTGGCAGCAGGGAAATTGGTCTGAGGTTGTTGAGGTCAGTGGGGGGGGCGTTCAGGGAGGGCTTTTTGAGTATGGGGGTGATGTGCGCATGTTTTAGGGGGGGAGGGGAAGACGCCAGTAGAGAGGGAGAGATTAAAGATGTGGGTAAGGGAGCGGATGAGGGAAGAGGGGGGGTGACCGGAGGAGTTGAGAGGGGATAGGGTCCAGGGGGCAGGTAGTGAGGCGGGCTTCTGAGAAGACTCTGCTGACTTCCTCAGTGGTAGTAGGGCTGAAGGAGTGCAGTGATGGGGGGGTTACGGTAGGGAGGGCCTTGGGTGTGGTGGGGGGCAGTGCCGTTGCGAGGTCAGAGGAGGGGAGAGATGAGGGGGTGATGGAAGGGGGGAGGCTAGATGGGGAGGTAGATTGCAAGTTGACTATGTCCTTGCGGATTGCGTCAATCTTTTTGTGGAGATGAGTGGCAATTTCGTGGGCGGTGAGTGAGGTACTAAGTGGAGGAGGGGGGGGGGGAGAGAGCAGGGAGTTGAAGGTGGAGAGAAGAGTCGGCGAGAGGGCAGGTGGAGAGGGTGTTAATCAGGTCAACAAAGTAGGCCTGCTTGGCGGCGTGGAGGGAGGAGGTGTAGGTGAGGAAGGCAGATTTGTAGAGGGAGAATGCAATGAGGGGACCTGGTTTTGCGCCATAGTCCTCTCCAGGCGCACACGGCAGCGACGTTTGAGGCATTTAGTGTATGGTCGTTCTGCCATGGTTGGAGCGGTCTGGGTTTGATGTTGCGTGTGGTTAGGGGTGCCAGAGAGTCTAGGGTAGCTGATAGTGAGTCGTTGTACGCGGGGGGTGGTGGCTAGGTCAGGGGACATGACAGTGGAAAGGATGCTGTCGTGGTAAGCGGTCGGCAGCCAGTGGGGGGGGGCCGGGTGCAGGTTGCGGAGGTTGCGGGCTGGTGATGGTTTGGCGCACTGGGGGGGGGAAGTTAGGGGAAGGGGAGATGGAGAACGTGAGGGAGGTGGTGGTCGGAGGAGGGAAGGGGGTGTTAGTGAAGTGGTTAAGGGTACAGAGGGGGAGAAGACGAGGTCCAGGGTGTTCCCATTGATGTGGGTGGAGGATTGAGTGTATTGTGTGAGTGAGAAGGAGGAGGTAGGTGGAGGAGTTGGGAAGTAGCTGGGGGGGTGTTGTCATTGATGGGGATGTTGAAGTCCCAGAGGATGATGGTCGGTAGCTCAGAGGAGAGGAAGAAGGGAAGCCAGGCGGCGAAGTCATCCAGGAAGCGGGCTATGGATCCGGGGGGGCCTGTAGATCACTGCGATCCTTAGGGGGGTGGGTGAGAAGAGCCGGATGCAGTGAGCCTCGAAGGAGGAGAAGGTTAGGGAGGGGGGGGGTTAGGGAGGACCTGGAAGGTGCTCAGTGGTGATAGGAGCAGGCCGACACCACCACCTTTTTGTGACGCCAAATCTAGGTGAATGGGACCAGATGAGACCTCCATGGGAGAGTGCCGCAGGGGAGGTAGTGTCAGTGGCCTGTACCCA